TCCTCTTTGATTTCTTTCATCAGTGTTTTATAGTTTTCTATGTATAGGTCTTTTGTTTCTTTAGGTAGATATACTCCTAAGTATTTTATTCTTTTTGTTGCAATGGTGAATGGTATTGTTTCCTTAATTTCTCTTTCTGTTTTCTCATTGTTAGTGTATAGGAATTGTGTGCAAACTTTAGTTGTGGCATGTGGGATCTAGTTCCCTGACAAGGGATTGAACCCAGGCCCCCAGCATTGAGACCATGGAGTCTTAGCTACTGGACCATCAGGTGAAGTACCGATATTTCCATTTTTGTTCATACATTATTGACTTTCTCCATGTCTTTTTTAGTTTTTTGAGTATTTTTAAGACTGCTGTTTTAAAGTCTTTGTCTAGTATATTCCCCATCAGGTCTTTTTTCAGGGACAGACTCTGTTGTATTACTTTTTTCCTTTGAGAGAACCATACTTTTTTCTTGTATGCCCTGTGATTTTTTTGCCATTCACTGGATGTTTTAATCTAACGATCTGGTGACTCCAGAAGTCAGATCCTTCTCTTCCCCTGCTTTGTGCTTTCGTTTTGTTTTTGGTTATTGTAGGCGGTCTTTGTGCCAGGATCAGTTTGAGGTGTAAACTTAATGGATTCCCTGGGCACAAGCAGTCACGTTCAAATTCTCCCCATATATGCAATTATGTACTCTGTTGGAGTCTTCAGCAGTCACTTCAGAAGAGGGAGGCAAGTTGCAGCAATGGCGGGGGAGTACAGAAGCAGTGGCGGCTTCCCCCCCGCCCCGTCTGCCCCCGCGAGGCCAGCCGCAGGGACGCGCCGTCAGAGCACACACAGGGCCTCAGCGGCTGGAGGACAGGACCCTTCCCCGCGCCGGCCGCTGCCGGATCTGCGAGCTGCTCTGGGAGACATGCGTGCACAGTTGCTGCACGGCAGTGGCGTTTGTGCTCCGTGCCCCACCTCCCCCACCCTGAGCCCAGTTGTGCCCTGAAGTCTCACCTCCCGTGTTCTGCAGACCCCCCAAGTCAGATCCTGCTGGCAGCTGCTGCTGGGACAGACACGCACTCCCGGGGCTTCCTACTGCACCGTCTTCCTGACTTTCGTCTCTCGTCCTGACTTTCCCTAAAGGAAGGACCGCTGACGTACGTACAGGCGTCATGTATGTACTCGGTCGTTTCACACTGACCGAGGGACGACCCGAGGCCAAGGCGCCCTGCGTCACCGCAACGCCACGGCGCTGCTGCTGAGGCGCCCTCCGCATCACAGCCCAAAGACTCAGCGCGTGGAGGTCTGCCCTCTGCTCCTCACGCACCTCCTCCACTCGGCCCTCACCCTCTTCCTCTGGAAACGACGTTTATTCTCTATGAGTGTGTTCCTGGTTCACTGTTTTTAGGTTCCACATAAACATGAAATGATGCAGTATTTGTCTTTCTGTGACTTATTTCACTGAGCGTAATACCCTCGAGATCCTTCCATGTTGGTGCAAATGACAAGATTTCTTTTTTCACGGCTAACATTCCATTGTATAAATACACAAGGCATTTTCTTTACCCGCTCATCTGTGGGTGGACACTTTGGTTGGTTCCACATCTTAGCTATTGTGAATAATGCTACTGTGAACATAGGGGTGAACATATCTTTTCAAATGAGTGTTTTTGCTTTCTTCAGGAAAACACCCGGGAGTGGGGCTGCTGGACTGCACGGCGGCCGTGGTCCTGACCCCGAGGCCTGCATGGCGGCTGCAGTCTAACTCTGAGGCCACACTGGCTGCCCTTCCCTCCAGCAGCACGGGGTCGCGGTGCCCTCTCGGAACACACGCCCTGGAAGGTTTTCGGACGTCACTGCCGCTATGAGAAATGCTGCTTAAGAATTACTCCTCCAAAAAAAAATACTCCTCCACTTCCCCCAGGTCCCATCTGTGGCTAATGTGAAGATTTAAAGGCTGTGTTGAGGGCAGTTTCTGTACATGCTGGCCTCTAAGAGTAGGATTGTTTTATTATCCTAAGAATAAAAAGCCAGTGTTCTCCAGCAGTAGAAAATTGCAAATAAAAGGTTTAATTTCAGAAACTGAGTTCACCATTTATAAATACACTAAAAACAGTCAATGCAAATTCAGATTAATAACAAGTACAGTATTTTAACAAAACAGCAACTTTTCTAAAAGGTCATAGGCAAATCAGTGACTCGTTTCACCCAGAATATTTAACTGGTTTGAAATAAGAAAATGAATTCTTTTCTAGACGCTGAGACAAAAACTTTGAAGACATATTACTGTTAAAAATAAAACCTGATGACTGATAATCCATTCTGATGTCCTTGGGATCCTAAAATACCCCACTGATGGCTGAATCTTCCCTATTTTATAAAAGAAAATCTAAACGCCTAAGGCTATTCTTACAACCATAACATAGCAATCTTCTTCCCTGTTAATAAGCCACCTCTTCTAAAAAGAACTGTGTACATAATTGGATCAATTTGGGGGTCAGTGCACAAATTTCAAGACAGCTTTATGGTGTAGAACCACTGAGTCAGAGGCCTGGAGATTCATCAACAGGACGCGGTAGACGCGTCATGCCGTGCCCCGGCCCAACAGCGGCCCCACCGCACGCACCGTGGACGCGGCTGTGTGTCCAAGCTAACCGCACACGTGGCGCCAGGGCAAACCCCTGAAATGGGAGCGCGCGCTCTGCGGAAACCCTACGCGACCGACCCTCCGTCACGTATCAGCTCGGACTTGTCGCCGATGCCACGTCTCTGTCATGGTCAACAGTTTCCTCCCAGAACACTCTCCCCCTCGATGCCCTTTAGAGCCGCAGTAGGAACTGCTCGGTCAGGATGGCTTCAACTCCATCTCCTATTTACAGATTTTATCTGACAGCCACAAAGGCTCTTCTGTTGCAATTAAAGCAATTTTTAACTAAAGTACAGTACCTGATCTGATTTACATAACCGAATAAAAAGCCTACAGAGTAAAACTGCTCACCTCTCCTCTGCCATTCTACTGAAACAAACTGATCCCCAACTTGTAAAAAACTTTACGGTTACAAATGAAAACCTAATCATCGTATTTCATCATTGACGAGACAAGCTGCTTCTCGTGGACTTCTGAAAACACACACCGTGGTACCTGGCCTGGAGGACTGGTTAAGGCACGTATGGCCGCGAGGGCGAGGGCCGGGCAGCCCCTCCCGCGGCCGTGGACCTGAGTGCCCGGCCTGCCGTCCCGCAGGGCCAGCCATGGCAAGCGCCAGCCTGGGCAGACGCCGGCTCTCGCCGGGCGGCTCCAGCGGGCTCTTCAGTACTGGAAGCATATTAAGGGAAGATTCACTTTCAGAAAGATGAGTTTCTCAAAATGCTCCATCAGGAGCCTGGACTGGCCGAAGCTGCCATTCTCGGGGGGCGTGCTGAACAGCCGCTCGGAGGGGACGATGCTTGGGGGGCAGCCCAGGAAGCGCACGGCCAAGGCGGAGAGGCCGGGCCAGGCGGCCCTCTTGAGGCTCCAGTAGGCAAGCGGGTCGCAGTTGTGCTCCAGCACCTCCTCCTCCAGGTAGGCGAGAACCATGTCCTCGGGGACCTTGGGCCGCCCTCCGCGCTCGCTCTTCTTCAGCTTGGCCATGAGCGCCCAGAGGCTCTCCTCGCCAGCGCAGTCTCGGGGCGGGGAGCCCGGCTCGCAGCCGTTGGGGACGGGCGCGGGCTCTGAGGTAGGATCCAGCGTTTCCAGCTCCCTGATCAAGTCCTGCTTGTACTGCTCTGCCTCCTCCTCGGAGAACAGGGAGGCCTTGTAGCGCGGGTCCAGCAGGGTGGCCAGCACGTACCTGGGGTCGTGCAGCGTGGCGGACAGGCGGCTCACTATGGCCTCCCTGAGGGCGCGGAGCATGGCATCGATGCCCGTGGTCTCCTGGAACAGCATCTCCACCCTGCGGCTGAGGATGTGGATCATGGGGATGACCTGGCTCAGCGTGGACACGTGCGCGCTCATCTCCTGGCTGGCGGCGGCGAAGGGCGTCAGGGCGTGGCACACGGACTGCATCACCTCCCACTGGTCGCAGCTCAGCAGCTCCCGGAAGTCGCACTCGACGGACAGCGCGTTCACCGCCCGCTTCTGCTCGAGCAGCCGCTCCAGCATGTGGAAGGACGTGCTCCACTTGGACGGCACGTCCTGCAGCAGGTGGTGGGGCGGCAGCCCGTACTCCCGCTGCAGCTCCGCCAGCTTGGCCTTGGCGCGGGGCGAGCGCTGCACCCGCTCGCAGATCTTCCGGGCGGTGCTCAGGAGGTTCTGGACCAGCCTCTGGCTCTTGATGGCCTCGCTGACGATGAGGTTGACCGTGTGGCTGAAGCACGGCACGCTGGAGCGCGCCCCCTCGTTCAGCGTCCTCCCGATGCTGGGGTTGTCGGTGACGGTGATGCCCACCTGCAGGCCGCTGGACGTCACCCAGGCCTCCCACCAGCTCTCCAGCTGCTCCTGCACGCTGCTGCCGCTGCAGTCGCAGTCCACCGGCGACACGTCCAGCAGCGCCGAGCGGTGGTGGTCCTCGCAGCGTGGCCGGGCCGAGGGCTCGAAGGCGACCCAGTGGGCCGTGAGGGTCAGGTACTCCCGCGTCTGGCTGCTCACCCAGATGCCCGACGTGAAGTGGACCACACCGCTCTCGGCTCCCTGCAGGTGGGCCATGATGACGTGCTTCACGTCCTCGTACATGCCTGGGATGGCCGTCCTGGAGAAGTAGGCCGGCGCGGGCAGGGAGTACTGAGGCTTCAAGTATGCCAGCAGCCTGTTGAAGCCAACGTTGTCCACCAGCGAGTACGGCTGGAGGTCAAGGGCGATCATCTCAGCAATGAGACTTGTGATTTTCTTAGCAACCGGGTGAGAATCGTAAAGCTTCTCGCTGCCGCCGTCAGAGGTGGCGGCGCCTACGGAAGGCGGGCCCAGGGGCGCCTGGGTGCCGGGCGGGGCGGCCCAGGCGCCCTCGGGCTTCAGCGCGCCACCGTGGAAGCGCTGCAGGTGCCGCAGGAGACAGCTGGTGCCCAGGTTCGTGGGCTTCTTGCCCCGGCTGATGGTCCGGCCACAGTGCAGGCACACGACCTTCGTGGGGTCTGCCGAGCAGATGGAAAAATGGTTCCACAGCTTGGAGGTCTTCTTGCTGTTGACGGGAAACACAGCTTGATGGTTTTTGGCGACCATGGTCGGCAGGTTCGTCAACCGGGAGGACGTTTCGGCGGAAGCCAGGGTGGCGTAGGGTGAGCCGGCCAGGCCGGCGCCCAGGAAGCCCTTCTGGTCCCCAGACACCTCGGGGTGGCGCCTGCAGAGGTGCCGCATGAGGCAGCTGGTGCCCACGTCGCCCCGCTTCCCGCGGCTGATGGCGCAGCCGCAGTGCCTGCACACGGCCTTGAGGCTGTCCGTGGGCGCCAGCGAGAAGTGGTGCCACACCTCCGACTTCAGCCTCTTCATCACCTTCTTGTTCTGCTGGAACACGGCGCCCGGCTCCCGCGGCTGAGGGCTCGGCGCGCCGCCAGGCTGCGTCTCGGGAGACGACCCCCAGGAGGCCTCGCCCGCGTCAGAGGAGGGGGACGGCGCGCCGCCGGGGCCCCAGATCGCGGGCGGCTCCTCCGCTGGCCGGTCGGGGGAGGAGGCTGCGGAGGCGGGGACGTTCTTGCCGCGGCTGAACTCCTTCATGCAGTAGGTGCACACAGCCTTGGTGCTGTCCCGCGGCGAGATGAAAAAGTGCTTCCAGGCCGGGGACCCCCGCCAGCGCGGTGGGGTGCGCCCTCCGCACGTGCCGCATCAGGCAGCTGGTGCTCAGGTCCTTCTCGTTCTTGCCGCGGCTGAACTCCTTCATGCAGTAGGTGCACACAGCCTTGGTGCTGTCCCGCGGCGAGATGAAAAAGTGCTTCCAGGCCGGGGACTTCTTCCTGGAGCCCAGGCCGCGGCCGGAGAGCAGGCTCTGCGTCACGGCCTCCATGGCCACGCTGTAGAGGGTGCTGCCGTACTGCGCTAGCAGCGCCCCGTAGTCATCCTCAGGCTCGGGGGAGGCGCCCCGCCCGGGGGGCCGGCCCGCGCCACCCGCCGCACCGCCCTCTGCCCGCTCCTCGCTGCGGCCCGCCTGCCTCCCGTCCTCCGGCTCACTTCCAAAGTCCATTCTCTCCACACTGTGATTAGGGGTTTGAGGGTCATCTTCCTCTCCTATTTTCAAATTTGTATTCTCCGAATCACCTGCCCCTTGGGGACAAGGCTCCCAGCGGTTCTCCATGACTGACCATAACTATTCAGTTCTGGCCAAAGAACTCTTATCTCTTGGGATGTTTACGAATATGGATAAGCAGGAATCTCACTGAGCAGTGGATGGGCAAACTCATGAGCGTGTCCCGTCACGGCGCAGACCGCAGTGCTCCCGGAGTTCTCCCGCTAAACGCATCGCGGGGCAGATGTGCGCTCACGCGGGGCGGACCTGCTGGTCTCGGACGCGGGAACGCTGATGAGTCGATGGCACGGTGCTCCTTCTGCGTCATCTCCAACAGATGGAACCAAGTAAGACAAAGGCCTTGCTCACGTTTCAGATCCACAGTCATGCATATGTCAGCTTCAGTATGTGTGAGAAAAATTCGACACTGGTCAGGTGAAACAAGAAAGCTTGTTCCTTGCCTTTATAACCTAGTCACAGGATGAAACACCCTCTCTGGCGGCCCCCGCTGCCCCGAGCGCCCTGCTTACCTTCTTGGAGACTCTGCCTCCCTGGGCCATCCCACTGCTCCCAAGGACGAGGGGCCTGCAATCTGCCTTCTTCTGATGTCTGCCTAACCAGGCCTGAGGCTGAGCATTTATTTAAGAGTAAAATCCTGGTGGTGGTAAAAAAAAGAAAAAAAAAAAAGAAAATATCCTCTAAATAGACATTTCCCCAAAGAAGACATACAGGTGGGTCAAAAGGCACATGAAAAGATGTTCAACATTGCTAATAATCAGGGAAATACAAAATGACAATGAGGTACGACCTCACGCTGGTCACAGGGCCATCACCCAAAAGTCTACAAATGATCCAGGGTGGGGGTGTGGGGAAAAGGGAGCCTGGCCCCACTGCTGATGGGATGTAAACCGGTGCAGGCACAATGGGGAATAGCCAGAAGGGCTGCCCGGCAGCCCCACTCCTGGGCACACATCTGGAGAAAACACCAACCTGAAAAGACACAAGCACCCCAGTGCCCACAGCAGCGCCATCTGCAGCGGCCAACACGTGGAAGCAACCGGAACCTCCGTCAGCAGATGAATGGACAAAGAAGGTGTGATACGATATAACGGAGGACTGCTTGGCCATTAAAAAGAATGAAATAATGCTACTGCAGCAACACAAATAGACCTAGACATTAACATACTAAACGAAGTCAGACAAAGAAAAATGTGGTATCAATTACATGTGGAATCTAAAAAAAAGATAATAAACTTATTTACAAAACAGAAACAGACTCACAGACATACAAAACAAACTTACGGTCCCAGAGGTGAGAGACGGGGAGAGGGAGGGACCAGGAGTTCGGGAGTGACACACACATGCTGCCACGCGCCCGAACACGTCAGGAGAGATCACAGAAAGCACCGAGGGGTGTCCACGGCGGCTCAGCGGCGCAGAATCTGCCTGCCAGTGCAGGGGTGCATTCGACCCCGGGTCCAGGAAGGTCCCACGTGGCTCTAAGCACCTATGTCCTTGGACCACAACTCCTGAGCCTGCACACAGCAACTACTGAAGCCCACGGGTCTAGAGACTGTGGTCTGCAACAGAAGAGGCCACCGCACTGAGAAGCCCACTCACTGCAACCAGCAGAAGCCCCCGCTCGCCAAGACTGGAGAAACCCCACGCATAGCGCCAGGCCCGGCACAGCCGAAAATAAAGTCTTTTTTAAAAAGAGAAAATACCAAGACTTGGTAAGGCCCATCACTGCGAGTGTAGCTCTTCTAATTAATAGGCGGGCTTCCCTGCTGGCGCAGTGGTAAAGAATCTGCTTGAAAATGTAGGAGCCCCTGGTTCAATCCCTGGGTCGGGAAGATCCCCTGGAGGAGGGCATGGCAACCCACCCCAGTATTCGTGCCGGGAGAGTCCCATGGACAGAGCAGCTTGGCGGGCTACAGTCCATGGGGTCGCAAAGAGTCAGACACGACTTAGCAAGTAACCAACGAGGTAATTTCCTAACGACTGGTAACACCGGACATTTGACATGTTCATTTGCTATTTGTCTCTCTCCATTGGTGAAGCATCTGTGCACGTATTTTGCCCATGTTTTTACGGACTGAATGTTTCCTTATTATTGAGTTCTCAGAGTTCCTCACGTCTGAAGAGAAACCATTTACCAGGTATGTAACTCCAGTCTGCAGCTTGCCTTTTCATTCTTTTAAGTGCTTTCTGAAAGGAAATGCTCTTAATTTTAATGAAGTCCAATTTACCAGTTTGCTTTTTAAGAATCAAACGTTCTTTAACAAGAAAAAGACCTATTTACTGGCCGGTGGGGTCTCAGCTGCAGCACGCCGGAGCACATCTGGCTGTGGTGTGCGGGCGTGGAGCTGTGGCTCTCAGCCTGAGGCACTTCTTGGCATGTGGGGCCTCAGGGCCAGCCCAGGGCCCGAGCCCGAGTCCCCGGCACTGCGCGGCAGCTTCTCCCAGACCATCAGGGAAGTCCCAGCAATGGGTCTTTTCATGGATTACGCGTTGGGAGCTGTATCTAAGAAAGAGTTTCTCCTGTGTTTGTTTTTATTTAGATCTTTGAAAGACTCAAATTCATTGTTTAGTATATGAATATCTTAATTGTTCAAATATCGTTTGTTGAAAAGATCATCCTTCTCAACAAAGGAACGCCTTTGTAACTGTTAAGACTCACTGTGTGTGAAGATGCCTCTGCGCGGCAGCTGCTTACATGTATCAACACAAGGGAAGTGTGTGTGTGTGTTCAGCACACCGCACCCTTTAAGTAAGCGCACTTCACTGTACGTCGGCGTGTACCGGTCTGTGCCCCCAGGTCCTGACGCAGGGCTCCTAAGACTCTCGGAAGCTCCCCAGTGACAGGAACACCTTTCGTTCTAGTGAGGCAATGATGGAGGCTCCTCGCCAGAAAGACCACGCCACGGTCAGAAACCAACTCTCAGCCCCCGACCCTCAGGACTGCCTGCAGACTGAGCTAACAGTCCTCAGGCCCACATCACGAAACCCCAATAGAATTCCAACAGCTCGGGGTTTGGGGAACTGCTAGGCTAGCAAAGACACTCACGGGTCCGGAGGGTGACGCACCCCAACTCCATGAGGACAGATGCCCCTGCACTCAGGAGCCTGTGCACCCTCATCTGGCCGTTCATCTGTGTCCCTTTCCATGTAGTCAAAGTCGCTCAATCGTGTCCGTCCCTTTGTGACCCCATGGATTGTACCCTGCCAGACTCCTCTGTCCATGGGGTTTTCCAGGCAAGGATACTGGAGTGGGTTGCTGTTTCCTTTTCCAGGGGATCTTCCCAACCCAGGGATCGAACCCACATCTCCTGCACTGCAGGCAGACTCTTTACTGTCCGAGCTATGAGGGAAGCCCCTTCCCATATAATAAACCTGTAAATGCGAGTAAGTGCACCCTTGCTGCGGGAGCCGCCCCGGCACTTCACTGCGGGAACCTCGGCTTTTAAGCCTCTCAGTCAGAAACACAGGTGACAGCGGGCCTGCGGTGAGTGGGAGCAGTCTCCTGTGCCGCCTGGACCCCATGGCTCTGAGCACGACTCCAGGCAGCGATGTCAGGAGCGGACGGAAGGATGGCCGGCTGGTGCTGGACAGCAGCCAGCGTGGGGCGCCGGGCACATGAGGTGACAGACGCAAGGCACTCTGTGCAGAGCCGGCGGGGGGGACATGGAGAGCGCCTCTGCTCACAGGCCATGCAGCTGCAGATGAGGAAGGGCAGGGCCTGGCAGACTGGGGCAAAGGGGAGGCTACCGCTACGCCGCCTGCAAAAACACGCTACGCGTTACGACAGAGAGAGGTTCAAAGCAAAAAGACAGGATGGGTGCAGCACGCGAGCCCAACCTGGGCCTGGTGGGGCCGCGGCAGTGGCGGCGAGGGGACGTGAACACAGCGGACCACAGGGGGCCTTCCGACCTTCCACGTGCACGGAGCAGACCCCGCAGGCCTGGAGGGAGGTGGGATCTCATATCCCTACTCACAGCTAACTGAACAAGCGGACAGAAAATCAGTGAAGGTAACAGAAGATATGAAAACATTACCATCAAACTTGGCCTAAATGACATTTATAGAACAGTCCAAATAAATGGAATACATATCGCTTAAAGGTGGGCACAGAGTGTTCATCAAGATAGACTGTTCTCTGGACAATAAAGCAAATCTCAATAAATTTACAAGAAATGAAATCAAAGAACAGTCTCTGAAAAGGAAACTGAACGAGAAATCAACATTAGAACGCTATCTGGAAAAATCTGAAGTATCTTTAAGTAAGTAAAACTTCTATACGTATGAAGCCAGGGGGTAAGGAAAAGTCCCAAGGAAAAGTACAGCAAATCTAACCCGAAGGAAACAGTAAAAGATTTGAAACCAATTAAACTGGAGGGGAGCGGGGAAGAGGTTGGGGGGGGCGGAAATCAGTGAAACCTAACACTGGTTTTTTGGACAGATCAAAAAAATTGGCAAACTTCTACACTGATTAATAAGAGAAAAAAAAAGGAAAAGACAGAAACTACCGATAGCAAGAATGAAAGTGGGTATCACCACCAAAGATCTTACAGACACAAAAAGATAGTAAGGAGACAGTGAGTGACTTTATGATGAGAAACTCAGCAGCTCAGATGAAATGGGTAAAGTCTGAAAAGACGCACGACAGAGACAGGCATCGGTCGTGCGGCGGTCATGACGTTGGCCTCACACTGACGGGACAGCCTGAACGGCCCTCTACCTAGTCCAAAAGCTAAACATGAAGTTAAAACCCTTCTCTTAAAATTCCAGGTCAAGATGGTTCCACTGGTTAATTTCACCAAACATTAGAGAAAAAAAAAATTACTGATGAAACACACTCTTCCAGAAAATAAACGACGAAACACTCCCCAACTCTTCTAACGAGGTGGAGCCACGCGGCCACCGTGGCCACAGAGATGCCGCGGGAGAAGAACCAGTCACAGCCCCGTGATCACAGAAGAGCCGTAAGGAGATGCGGCGAGTTCTTAGAAAGTTAACCAACCACATTCAGCACTACACCGAAGATAACAGCCCGCGAGTAAGTGGGCTGTATCAGAAGAACGTTCGGTTTAACATTAAAAACTCAGCCAACAGATGCACCAGGTTCACAGAAAACGGGAGGAAAACCGTAGGGTCACTGGATGAGGAAATGCACTTAGTATCGTCTCTGCTCCTACTGCTGACGAGAGGCTCCGCAAGGCTGAAGGGCAAGCCACGGGCGTCTGTGTGACAGAGGTCTTCAGGCCTCCACGGAAAGGTCACAGGGCACGGTCGGTGGCCGTGAGCTCCCTGCCGTCCGGCTGGCCCGGACACCACCCCTGTCCAGTTCCTCCCTGGTCTGGGAGGGCCCAGCTCGTCTCCCTTCAAGGCGGACGTCCCGTTCTTGGCTGACCCTGAGGCTCTCCGAAGACTCTCGGGGCGAGAGCCGGGGTGATGGCGCGGACTGCTTCCTGCGGGCCCTCTTTTACCTGCTCAGCCCATGCGGGCTCACTTGAGCCACGCAACAATCTTTCAAGGAAGGTTTAGTGCGATGCGTCTCCTTTTACTCCAAAGGACACGGGCACAGAGGGTGAGAAACGTGTCTGGGGTGCGCGGGGCAAACCGGCCGCTGTTCCTGGAGCGCTGGGGGTCCGAGGG